GTGGTCTTGGCGTGCGGACTTTTCCAGGACGAACACCTCAACATCGTGACAGACTCTATATTCGTGGCAAAGCTCTGCCTAGCCATGTCAAGACCAGGTGTGTCAACATCCACGACGGCCTCCATGCTTGAAGAGGCACTCTCCTCACGCCAGGGCACCGTGTCCGTCATTCACGTCAACAGCCATAACCCAGTCAAGGGCTTCTTCCAGACTGGCAATGACAAAGCAGATGCCGCAGCGAAGGGAGTGTGGACACTGCAGGAAGCTCGTCAGCTGCACGAGTCACTCCACATAGGGGCCAAAGCACTGGCGAAGAGATGCGGGATCTCGACAGCGGACGCGAGACACGTAGTGGCCACCTGCCCTCACTGCCAGAAGTCACCCCTATGGACCGGTGGAGTCAACCCGAGGGGCCTCAAGGCGTCAGAAATCTGGCAGTCAGACTTCACCCTCTGCAAACTGCTAAAGCCCCGAGCATGGCTTGCAGTGACAGTGGACACCTACAGCGGAGTGATCATAGCGACACAGCACCTCAAACCCAACTCCAAGGCCACGATCCAGCACTGGCTGACAGTTATGGCATGGCTTGGTATCCCCAAGCAAATTAAAACTGACAATGCTTCCAATTTTATCTCCAAATCAGTGCGGGAATTCGCCTCGGTGTGGGGTATCACCTTAGCGCAGGGAATCCCATATAACAGCACCGGACAGGCCATTGTCGAGCGAGCAAATCAGACCCTAAAAGCCAAGTTAGAAGTATTGGCAAAGGCAGAGGGCTTTGCCAAATCCATCCCCTCAGGAGACCAGACACGCATGCTAGCAACCGTGCTATTAGCACTGAACCAATTCCCTAGGGAAGATGAAGCAAACAGTCCCATTCGAAAACACTGGGCCACCCAGACACTAGAGGAGGGCCCACAGGTCATGGTCAAAAACGAGCTGGGCGAGTGGGAACGGGGCTGGAGACTGGTGCTTACGGGACGAGGGTACGCGGCAGTTAAAAAGGAGGACAAGATCAGGTGGTGTCCACTCAGGTCGATCAAACCTGACCTTCAGAATGAAACTAATGGAAAACTGTGAGTTTTCGTTCGCAGGACACGCTCGTGGACCGTCCCCGCGATACACACACCCCTGCTCCAGAGAGAGATAACGGACCACTAAGCCACCAGACAGAACCTGAGCGTCCCACGGCGGTGAGACCCAGACTCGCACAGTGTCTCTGTGCAATCCTGCTGGTGGGGCTTGTGGCCGGGGGGCAAGCTGACCCAGGCCACTACCCTCACCAGCCGTTCAGATGGGTCATGCAACATCTTTCAAGTGACAAGGTGTTCAAAGAGGTCACCACCACAAACGCTCCATCCTTCGTATTCCACATAGCCGATCTGTTTCCAGGGCAACCAAAACTACGGCCCTCAAGCCCGCACATCATACTCATGTACATATCTTACTGGTGCCCAGCGTCCAACCCAGGGAAAAGGTACTGTGACTACCCGGGGTGGGGACATTGTGGATATTGGGGCTGCGAAACCATTGTTACAGATGCCAGACCATGGGGAGACGGGTGGCAACCGCAGGAGCCCGACAAATTCTTACAGTTCACCTGGGCACCCTTTGGCTGCGGAGACCACAATGCACAGCCCAGACTACGGGGATGTGTAAGTTATAACATGACTGTCCTACAGCCAGATCACCCTAGCTGGGCCACGGGTAGAACATGGACAGTGGTCCTCAGAGGACCGAGGAGGTGGGTGAATGTGAGAATTACCAGGCTCCAGCCGCCAGCACCTCGACCAGTGGGACCCAACAAAATTATCAAGAATGTGCTGAGAGGGAAAAACACAACCCACCCCAAAACCCTGACCTCAAAAGCCACTGACACCCCGACCAGCCTTGCAGATACCCCCCAGATAGGCCGCACGGCTGAGTCAGACCCAAACCCAATCTTTCGTATGCTAGAAGCTACCTTCCTAACCCTAAACGAAACCAAACCAAACCTAACTAACTCCTGTTGGCTTTGCTATGATGTCAAACCCCCTTTTTATGAAGGCATTGCTTTAGACACCCCCTTCAGTTACTCCACAGCCAGCACCCCCCACTAGTGCAGATGGGACACTCCCTGCAGAGGAATCACCCTGAGTCAAATCACAGGACAGGGCAGATGTTTTGGCAATGCAACTTTAGCAAAGCAGAAAGGCAACTTCTGCACTAAAGTTGTCAAACCCAACAGAAAAACTAACAAGTGGGTGATCCCATCTGCGTCTGGGATGTGGGTTTGCCAAAGGTCCGGAGTGAGTCCTTGTGTGTTCCTTGCCAAATTCAATGACTCTACCGATTTCTGTGTTCAAGTTCTGATTGTCCCCAGGGTCTTGTATCACTCAGACGAAGAGATATACCATCTTCTCGAAGAACCTAACAGACTCCACAAAAGGGAAATCATCACAGGTATAACTATCGCGATGCTGCTCGGCCTGGGAGTAGCTGGCACAGCCACGGGTGTCTCAGCCATCGCAACCCAGCAGCACGGACTCTCCCAGCTGCAAATGACCATCGACGAGGACCTGCAGAGGATCGAGAAGTCCATCTCCTATTTAGAGAAATCAGTCTCTTCGCTTTCAGAAGTGGTTTTACAAAATAGGCGAGGACTGGACCTTTTGTTCATGCAGCAAGGAGGACTGTGTGCAGCCTTGAAAGAGGAATGCTGCTTTTATGCAGATCATACGGGAGTCGTTAAAGACTCCATGGCAGAACTCCGAGACAGACTGGCTCAGAGAAAGAGAGACAGGGAGACCCAACAGAGCTGGTTTGAATCCTGGTTCAATCAATCACCTTGGCTCACCACTTTAATTTCCGCCCTGGTAGGTCCACTGGCGATACTGCTTTTAGCTATTACCATAGGACCATGCCTGCTGAACAAACTAGTCTCGTTTGTTCAGGCCCGTCTGGAAAGGGCAAACATTCTGTTCATAGGCCACCAACAAATGCTGTAAACCGAAAACTGCAAACACGGTCAGTAGCTAAAGCATTCAACACCTGCCTTGAAAAAATTACCCAGATTTACCAAACCACCCTTTCCTTAACAAGTTGCAAGTTTGTACCTCACCCCAGTGCCTATATCTACGACTACCTCATTTTGTATGTGATAAGGAGGGGGGAGATGTGGTAGGCAAGGGACAGGCGAAGCGGAAGATCACGGGATGTCACGGAAAGATAGACCCCTCCCCTTCTCCCTTCCCCACGTTAGCTATTAACCCCTGAAGCCCCAGAAGCATGTAGCCACACCTGCCCCGGTAAATTTCCACTCCCGACTAACCCCTGAGACCCCCCAACCCCCCTCTGACGTAGCAAAGACCCCCAAGACTATTTAAACCCACGAGATGAGATAATAAAGGCTTTTCGACCGTCTGCCACATTGGTATCCGCGTGTGTTGATTAGCCCGAGTGGCCTGGGCGAGACCAGGCTGCCGTGCTGCCACCTGAACCAGGTCGCTGGTTGCCCTTTATAAAGGCAACACCCAGGGCCCGGGATTTGTGCCGCTTCCGCTCCACAGAGATGCAGGTAAGGAGGAGAAACCAAACTCTTTATTAATGGAAGGGAAAGGGAAGGGATGAGATTGGGGAAAAAAAAAGGGGATTGGCAGGGTCTGAGGGCTGGAGGGAAGGAGCTGTCAACAGGGAATGGGGAGGGAGCCGTCAACAGGGAAGGGGAAGGCAGCAGCTATGGGAGCTTGCAGCAGGCACAGCTGTGGCCAGCATCAGGTGTGCCTGGGGCTCCAGTGACGTTGAGTCCTGGTGCTCTCTTCACTGTCTCCTGGTACTCTTCTTGGGATCGTGGTTCTGTGAATCCAGCAGATGACCTTAGTTCTGCACATCTCTTCCCAAAAATTTCCTGAATTTCCAGGTTAGTGGAGGATGGGCTGTCATCTTCGCTCATGACTTCAAGGGCTGGAAGACAGATAAACTACCACAGTCAGAGCCCAGAGGGCCACCCAGCAATTCTTCTGCTAAGGCCATCTCTCCCAGCTCCCGCCATGCCTAACAGAGACGAAGACCCAACGGGATCAGCCGCAAGGCGCTGGTCACGAATCCCCCCACTGGCGTCCCTGAAATCTCTCTGTGCCCTGCCCACACCAGCCCTCGTCCACACAAGGAGCGAAGCTGGCCACAGCCGGGACAGGGACTGCAGCTCCCTGGCCGGCATTGCAGCTCTCCCGGCCAGCCCCCGCTGACAGCCCGCTGCCCTCACTCACCCTGAGTGAGAACGTGAAGCTCGACTGGCTGTCCCTTCAGGTAGCGCCCGGCCATCCCTGGGAACACAGAGCCTGTCAGGCCCAGCGGCACAGCTCCCTGCCAGCGGCGCTGCCAGCCCTGGGGCCACACGGCCTCCTGGCCCGGCAGGGCTCAGCCCGGGCCCTCGCCGCACGCTGCCGCCCCAGGGCACGGCTGCCAGAGGCGCCGGCCCGGGTGGCGCTGCCGGGGCAGCAGAGGGGCTGGGGCCGAGCTGCGGCGGGGCGGGGAGGGAGCCCGGGCTGGTGGCTCACCCATGAACCTGACGGCCGCCTCTCGCAGGGGCTCCTGTGGGCTCTGCAGGTAGGGCAGGGCCCGGCGCAGGTGCTCGGCCGCGCTGCTGCTGTCCTCTGCCAGCTGCAGAGAGCGGCAGGAGGGAAGGGTTGGCGCGGGCTCAGCCCCTGGGCCGGGCGCTCCCTGCGCAAACCCCGGCCTCCCCTGCCCGCACAGCCCTGAGGCCCGGCCAGCAGCCGCTGGCGCCGGGCTCTGGAGGGGGCAGAGGGCCGGCTGCTGCCCGGGGAGCCGCGGTGCCGCCCCGCAGCCCCGCCGGGCCGGGGCTCCATCGGCACCCGGCTCGGGCCGCAGGAGCCTGGAGCAGAGCCCGCGCGGCCTCGGGCTGCAGCAGCGGGCAGGGGCACAGCTGCCAGCCCGCACACCGAGCACCGCGCTCAGGGGGCTTCTCCAGGCTGGGGCTGCGGCTTCCCGGCCCTCCTTACCAGGCACTCGGCAAACTTTGACAGCTGCTCCTTCTTCAGCAGCTTCTTGAGATTCCTCTTCTTCAAAAACTCGGCCACACCAAGCAGCGTTTCCCGAGAAGCCTGGAGAGCAGCCGAGACCCAGAGATGGCCCCAGAGCCCAGGGCGCAGGACCCGCGTCCCTGTGGCAAGGGCCTGGAGGAGGCTGCAGCCCGCCAGGCGCCAGGGCAGGAGGCAGCCCAGCCCCCTCCCAGAGATCCACCAGCATCACACAAAACCTCACATTTGCCACGCGCTGGTTGTCCTCATGGCAGTGCAAGAAAAGTGGGAGCAAGCTCTGACACAAAATCTTCTTCATGGGCTTTTCTCCCTCATCCACTAGAAAGTTCATGATCTTGTCAAAGAGTAAAATAGAGAGCAAGCGCACATAGCTGCTGTCCTTTAGAAAAGAAGAGGATAAGACTTTTAAGACCAATTATTCCAGGCTCACCAGAGACAATGTCAGAAAATCCATAAGGGGAAAGTGTATGCGGGCAGTCTGTGCCTATGGCTGTGGACATAGAGCCTTACATGGTCAAAGAGCAGGAGGAGTGCCTCAGCGAGCTTCGGGGCAGTGGTGCTGGATACCAGGATGTCTTTGTGCTGGAGGACATTTGTGAACACACGGAGGCTCATGCTGACCACCTCTCCATCTGCATCCCCCAGCAGCTCCAGAAGGCTTTGAGACAGCGGGTACATTCTTCTGGCCTGTGCGGAACACAAGGGTGGGCTGGGGAGCCGTGGATGGCTGCACGGCCAACACCGCCCTGGCACTGCAGGCCCACCCTGCTGCTGCAGGGCCCACAGGCCAAAGGCCTGTCCCAAAGCACTGGGGCAGGTGAGGCAGGAGAGCTGGGAGCAGCTGCCTCAGCTCCTGAAGCCCTGCCAGCCCAAGGGGCTGCTTTGCCCAGCGCAGCTTCAGCTGCTGCCCCCTTCTCACCATCGAGGGATCCTTGGTGAGCACCACAAGGCCTCGGAGCGCCAGGCGACGCCGCTCCCTGCACTCGCTCCGCAGGTACCTTGACATCATCTCCAGAACGCTGTCACCGCATTCACTCAAATCCAGGCCCCCGAGGACCTGAAAGGCACAGGGCAGTGACAGGGGACCCGGCCGGCAGGAGCCCAGAACCGCACAGGGCCGGGCCCAGGCAGCAGCACGGGGCGTGGGCACCGTCCCAGGCAGCTGCGGCTGCGAGAGGGCAGAGAGCCGGGAGGCAGCTGAGGCAGGCAGCGCTGGCCAACAGGCTCACCTCCACCAGGAATGCCAGGGAGGGCAGATCCCAGCACGGCTCTTCCCTGCTCTGTGGCTGGAGCAGGCGGAATGCAATGCGGGAACAGAAGGGGTCCAAGACATGGCACAACACCCTGGCAAGGGGGGAAAAAGGCCCTGAGGTGGGAAGGCCAAACCCCTCCCAGGAGGGACTCACAGAGGTCGGGTCTTTCCCCAGCATCCCTGGAGAGGATGTGGGCGCTTTGGGAGGCGGCCCCTTCTGGGCACTCTCCTCTCCAAGCCTTTTCCAGTTTCCTTGGCTGTCCCTCAGTGAAAAGGCCCTCTGGCCCATGACCGCAGGGACTGTGAGGGGCACCTGGGCACAGGGCACAAATTGGGGACCGTGGGGAGAAGGGGGTCTCACCTGGCCAGCAGGCCCACAGCAACGTGCTGGGTGTCAGCACGCAGCAGCATGTCCCAGTCACGCTTGCGCTCCATAGCCAGCACCACATGGTCCCACTGCAGTCGGCAGAGCAGAGCCTTTATGGCCTGCACTGCAAACCTGTGTGCAGAGCAAAGCCCAGGTCACACTGGGAGCGCTGGCACTGGCCACAAGGGCACGGGAAGGACAGGGGGACTGGGACCTGTTGGGCTTGCAGTGAAGGTGGTGTGCCTGCCAGCATGCTCTCCAGAATGTAGCAACTTCCACTGGTGGTATCTGCTGTGTGGTGATGACAAGATGGAAGAGCAGAGCCACAAACAGGCGGGGGGAATAAAGGTTT